TTATTCTGAACAAGACATTCTACATAAAATGACAATGTTGTTACAGACATACCAGGTTTTTTCTTCATTTTTTTCTTATCTATAATTTCTTGGGGCATCATGCATATATTGTGAGTTGTCCTTCTTATGAAGTGGTAAAACACTGCAACTGATGACCCTACAAAAAAAACCAGAACACAATTGAGGTAAAAACCAAATATCACTTGTTGGTAATACCTTCCTATTATTTCTTGGGTGCTAGTAATAGTACTACCTAGTGATGTTTGATTTTTCTTGTATGGTATGTGGGTAGCTATAGTGTCTGAACGCATGAGCCGAAATCACGCCCTTGGTGGTAAATTTATGAGAACATATGCTGATTCATTCTAGTATGAAATGACAATGACAGGAAATGCAGATATACTAGTACCGGATTCTGCCGTAAATTCGCCCAGGGCCGTTAAACCGCAGTTTGGGTTTAAAAAAAAATAAATTGGGACCTAGAAACCGCCCAGGGCGATTTTTCGGCAGTTTTTTAAGGTGTTATTTTAATCTTTTCTGATGCCGTAGTCATTGACGACTATTCAAGAGTATTGATGTTTATTGCGACTTGCGTGAATGGGTTAGTTTCGTTTCGACAATGAGTTATTGCTGTAAATAATGTTAAATTATTTTTCAAATGCTCAGTTTATCTTTTGAAAACAACTATTTTTTTTTATTTAAAAACAAATCATGCCGCTTTGCTATCAAAATCCAAGCCAAAAAATTGTACAACAACATCGGCAAATCTCTTCCATGCTGGGTTCAATAACATTAAAATAACATTTAAATGCATTATGGTAATTTGAACACGTTGGCATCATCCATCGTTTTCATTGGTTAATTATCGATTTGACCTGTCAGGTCAGGTCAAAACATGGCGGATGTTCATTTCTACAGCATCGAGCGTTGAAAATGTGATCGGAATCATTCGCTTACGATGAAATAAGTTGAAATTTTTTTGCATTTCATAACAATTTAACGAATTTATTTTTTGCACGTTATTATAATCATTACTAGGTAATAATCAACAATTGCAAAACGCAGCATGACCGGATTGCGCTACCACGATCATTCGCTACTAAGCAATGCAGTTGTGTTCGTTGTTTTTTGAAACTTCTTTTAGAATATACTTTCGTTATTAATAAAATGAAACAAAATAATTGTATTTGGCGCACAAGGTTCGTTTATGAGATTTTTTTGGAAAATGATGTGCGGTCTACTTATTAATCCAGTTAGAAAAAAAAATGTATACAATTTTAGTTTCTTTCGTTGGGTTTGGGTTCTCCAACTGCCAGTGTTGAAAGTCGGTGTAGGTGGATTTTCCAATGAAAACAAAGCCCTCTAAAAATATTTGATGATAATTTTTGAAAATTTTAACCCCAAATAAGGGCCCACCAGCCGTGAAACCACCCAGGGCGATTTTTCGGATGGGCGAATTTACGGTAGAATCCGGTATATGGTCGGATACCGTAGTAATGAAGGAAATGAATGCAAACCATCGTCAGCGACGCATATTTATGTGCTGCTGCAACCACTATTTCATTATGCTACATTTATGTGAAAAAATAATTGTTTTTCGAATCTTCATGTACACGATGACTTGTAATAAATACCATAACAATCAATGGATATAATTTCAGTATAGCAATTACATGTACTATTATTATCATATGTGTATTGTTTTCCAAATAACAGATCAACGAATGAGGGCATGATTAGTGGCTCCCGAATAACATGAACGCAACTGCTGTAATCCCTCTACAAACACAAAGGATTAAAAAGTTCAGCACGTGCAGAGATCTCGTAATGTGAACATAGTACATGATGTTGATTAGCTGATAAATATAGCACACTACTAATCTGATTATGTTAATTTTCTATACCCTGGATGACAGTTGTATGTTCTCTGTATGTGCTGTATCAACAGATAGTTGCCACACAGATGAAAGTGCAATCACCCCTTTCTTCATTATGCTCGAATAAATTTACATGATGTGTGGATAATATACTGTAAAATACTTTATTTTCGCTTGGAATTTATTTTCGCTATTTTCACTGAAGGGATGATTCCGTGAAAATAAAATCCAGCGAATATACTTTTTTTCCTATATTTCACATTAAACTCATCAAAAATCAGTGAAAATAAGTTCCATACAAAATGCCCAAAAAACTTTTTCAGCGAAAATAAATTGCAGCGAAAATAAAGTATTCCACAGTAACCCATGATTATATCAGTGGAAATGTTACCATTCTATAAATTTTCAGTTGATATTATTACCAGTTATTATCATATCATGATGTTTAGTGCACCCTATCATAACAGCTGTTCATATTCCACACTAAGCATTACATAAATGTGAATAATAAGTACCATAGTCATGTGATATACCGGTATACAAGATGTATATTGCATATATGTAATATAATGTAATGTAATATAATAAAAATTCAAAGTACCCCAGAATGATCAAACTAAGTGTTCAGCCCCAACAACTTTGATTTTCGCGAGGAGTTATGTACAAACCCCAAGCTACATGTATCATATTGATGAACAAATGTTCTTCAAAATCCAATCCAATGCAAAAATAAAAATAACTACCTGTGATATGTTTAGGTTTTGGTACATACTTGTCTTTTCTATGCTTTTTAACTCTGTTAGCATACTGTGTCAGATATTGATATACAATATTTCCAAGGAGTGACAATACATCCTATGAAATACAAATAACAATATTAAACATAATAATATTAACTACCGTAGATACCCTAATTTAGGCGTCCTTTTTGCAACATTTCAATTCTTCATGGCCCCAAAATTAGAATACATTTAGCACAATTTGTTGCAAGTGGCTCCTATTCAAGGGTCATAGGGTCAAACAAGTATGATTTTTTTTTATTTGCACCTTTTTGGTTT